CCAATGGGAAGCGTTGGTATTGGAAACGAAACGCGTCGCTAACATCACTCGTGTCACACATGTATATAATATCCCAAAATAATAGGACGAGAATTGTGTGATAAACGCGAGACTCGGTGTGAATACCGTCGGTAAAGCCATTACTCTTGTAATGTTTAATCACAATGTCTTCGACACTCATGACAGTCACGTCTCCATTAGAATCAGTAGTTTTAAAGAAATTCTTTCTCTCGGTTTTGTCGTTAACCAAACATTTGAAAGATTCAGCAAATATTGTCGTTTCGTTGAATTTGATGTTTTCGTATTCAACGTCTATTAGACCACTATTTTTCACTGACTTCTGAATCTTTCGCTGCCTTTTATACAGAGCTAATCGATGACCCGTTCGGACAAAGCTATCGCTTAACGCCTTTTCAATCACTACCAGTGAAGACGTCGTGTCTTTCAAATGCTTATCCAAATCAAGAGCCAGTCTTTCAAACCAATAGCCTCTCATATCAGAGCAATAAATGGATTGATTTAAAAGGATTTCTTTTAAAATATAGACGGCTTTCGAGTAATTCTTCTTCTGTTCGTAAACCGAGAAACTGTGAGAAAGACATCGTATATAAGATTGACCGGCGGTATAGCGGCGTAAAAATGAGGGCAAAAGTGTATCGCTTTCATCGCATTTGTCTTTAATGGTAGTCATATACATGTGTTCCGCTCTATCCATCAAATCAACCATATCTTCGCCTAAATTTCTCTTTTCAATGGCCGACAAGATTTCGATTTCCAACTTAAAGGCCTCGCTATAGAGGATTAGTTGGTCGCGAGTCTTGTAAATGCTTTCCTCTCCATTGATAACAAATTTGGGATAAACTTCTCGTCTGCTTTCGGCTTTCATTTGTTTGAAACTAAATTTAATTCATAAAAAGCCAATCAATAGAGAAACAAATGCGAGTAAAAACACATACAATTCGTGACTCAAATGAGTGTTCAAATCGTCTTCATTGATGTCCGGCTGACAGAAGAGCAAAAACATGCGTTCAAATGGTTCGCATAGTTTTTCGTTCACTTTAAAACATTTGTCTTTCAAAACACTTCTAACCCTAAATCACAACAAGTATTAAATGTCAAAACATTAACACAATTAGCATTCAATTAACTTACGATTTGAGAAGTTTTTGAGTCACAGAATCTGATTGTTTGTCTGAAGTTTTGATCACTGATTGACATGTGTTTATATACTTCAAAATAGCGGGTATTATATTCTTCTTAGTGTTCAAACCATTCATATTCATGCCATTCAATGAACGGCCGATTTTCTTAACCTCAATGGTGTCCAAAATATCCAATGATTCCTTCAAATCAGTCAATTGGGTCTCTGTTTAAAACCAATTCATATAAAATATTATTTCTTAAAATAAGTTTAAAACCATTTATAAGTTTCGCAAACCATTGAACAGAAACTGATTGTCGACCAGTTCTTTGAGGATTGGCTGCAAATTCTCAGCAATTTCTGGATATTTGATGACATTTTTGCGGATCCAATGCTTTTTGCGGATAAAAAGTCTCATTAATAGCATTTGCGCCAAACCTTACGAATCAAATCAATCACACGTTTAGATAAGGTTTCTGTAAATCAAATCACAAGTGATTCTCACCTGAAAGACAAGTGAAGACTTGGACGACATTCATGTCGTTTGCGTCAAACAGTTGTGAGTATTGTTTGTCATTCAATACAAAGTCAATCATTTGCCTGAAGTTGTGGTAAACATAGGATCCCTTCATATAAGAGTCTTCGTTGGAGTCGTCGTTCAACTGATCCGAGTCGGTGTCCATCTGATTGTCTTTATCCTCGACAGTGAAATCAATTTCCAAGAATTGGTTCAAATCAATGAACTCCTCGTTGGAGACGTCTCTCAACACATCCACGCATTTGAAGGCCTTTTCTGCGATTATCACCGATTGGTTCCCATTAGGAGTCGAGTCTTCACACCGTTTGACAGCTTTGTTGGCATTGTTTCCACTTTTGTTAAAATAGTCTAAAATAGACTTTTGTTTGCGTTTAACACTTGAATTCATTGCAATCAAAATCAATACTACTTTTCATTCAATCAAATCTCAAATCAATTGTCTGTCAATTGAAAAGTCATTCAAAACAATGCAATCAATGTTTTCATTCAATTCATTGTAATCTCTAATGCAATACAATTGGCGCCTAAATCACAACACGTGACAAACACTACAAACACTATTCATAAATCTAATGACACACTCTTTGAATGACAAACCCTGTTATGAATGAAAAGTTATACAATTTTGTTAATTATAATTATATAACTTGTGGTGAATTAAATTGCATTAAATATTTAAGTCAATATTTATTTATTAAAAATTAGTCTTTATTTTTAAATTTTATTTAAAATTCATATAAATGTAAATAATGATGATCAATTTATTCTATATAAGTTATATGACACAATCTGTTTTACCATGATCCTTTTACTAAATTCTACAATTAAATAACTATTTCAGCGAATTTTAATTAATGTATTTTGAGATAACCAAAAGAGTGAAAGTGTTTTTAGTTGTTATTACATTAATTTGTATATTTTGCTATAATGTAGTGAATTGTTAAACTTTCAACATATATTTATTAGTTATTGATTTATTAATATTTATAATGAATTGTTAAATGTAACCATAAATTGGTATTTTGTATTCTATAGCATGATATGATAAAACTTATCAAATATTGCATTAAAGTAACACTTAAAATTTTATGCTTTTATTTTGCAATATATTGCCCAATATATAAAACATTTAAATAACTCAATCATAATATCCTTATTTTATTGCAACTAATTATTTAATACACAAATTGTCTATAATTTATAGCACATTATAAATTTGGTGCTAATGTTATTGTGAAGATGTTGTAAATAATTTGTTTTGTCATTTGTCAAAAGTAACATTTTATTTTTGCATTAATTTTCTGCAATAATTATTTTATATTTTATATTCAGTATAATCTTATAAAAATAAATAATGATATAATTAGTGTTATAATATTGTACAATCATATTATGATATATTCACAATTGATTAAAGTAAAATGATCTAGAATGTTTGCTATTACATCGCAAACTATTTGTGACATAAATATGTGGTAGAATATAGCGAACAGAATATTGAATAGATAGTGAAGCGTGTGTTTCCCTCTTCCCTCACACGTCAAGAATCGCTTATCGATTATTTCATATTTATTTATCTCTTCTCTTAATGTTTATTAGTTTTATCTATTTTTGTTGAGAAATTGTCACACATTTTAATTTATATTTAAATTCGTACTAAATTTACAATGATTTTGAAAGATAATTCGTTGATTTGTATACTTATACTAATATTAAGTTTAATTTCCAATCTTTCGTTTACTAATTCGTCAAACATTGGAACCGATTCTGTGATTGAATTAAATGCCGACAATTTTAATCAATACGTATACAATCAAAAGGCCATAACTTTAGTCGACTATTACTTGAATTGGTGTTCGCATTGCATTACATTCGCGAAGGTATGGAAACAATTTGCTAAAGACATTGGAGGCTGGGATTCAGTGGTGAGAGTGGCGGCCATCGATTGCGCCGCCGATGCGCTTAACCAACAGTTGTGTCGATCACATCGCGTCACTCGTTTCCCTCGACTCAAACTGTTTAGGACTTATTCGCAGCAAAATCGAGATTTTGGCCTCGATTTTGAAACCAGAGACCGACCGACACAACTGCGGACACAACTCATTGATTGGCTGTTGAAATCAAACGATAGTTCTTCACTCAATCTCAACATAAATCCCAATTCTATCGCTTCCAAGAATGAACTCTTCAACGCATTTCCCGTTCACTCAGAAAAACATAATTTAATATTTTTGGAGAAACATCCGAAACGTCTTGGAGTTGAAGTATTATTTCTAATATAAAGCATAATATGAGCTGAAAATAATTGTGTGATTTTATTTGCAGATAATTTTAGATTTTTCATCGTTTAAAGAATATATAAATATAATTAGAGTTTACGACAAAACCGGGAGTTTAACTCAACAGCTCTTTCCACATTCAGTACGTCTTCCGGCACTCATTTATTTGCATACAAACCAATCGATTGAATTAATTGCC